TATATATATATATATGTATATGGATATATATAATTTTTATTTTTTTATATGTTGCAAGTGTTCAGTATAACCTTCTTTTTTTTTTGTTATTTTTAGCCTTGTTCCCTCAATAATGTTCTGGATTTGTCTGCAAAGTTTTATTAACTTCATCGACAGAAAATGTTTTGCCATAAATGAGATGAAAAGCAAGCTTAATTTCACATTTCTTCCAGGCGCGGGATAGACGGAAAAGGTAATTAAAGGGAAACATTTTAGAATTTTTGTACAAGGGAGCCAGATGGACCCAGTCAAAGTACGCTTTTAATTGCCACTTACCATGTTAATAGGAGCCGTGCTAACGTACGCAATAAAAAATGGCTTACAGAACTGGGATAATGAGGAAACTTCAGTCCTTTTGTAGAATTAAATTGTTTGCAGTTTTGTTTTTTTCCCTGCTGTAAATTCAGAAAAATATGCTACATTTTTTTTAGAGAGCCACCAAACTGTAATAATACAAGTTTTCTTTTTTCTTATAATTCCTTTTTTTGGCATAGTTTTTTTATTTTGCAACAAATAGAACTGATATAATATGTAAACGTTTCCTTTTCTAGTATTAAATTCTTTCCAGCTTTTCTTTTTATCTTGCTGTAAATCCAAAAAATGTGGTCCATTTTTAACAGCAAGCAATCAAACTCTTAAACTGTAACAATCAACTTTCCTCTGTGTATAATATTCTTTCTTTTTTTTTTTCTATTTTAGCATAATTGTTTTGTTGGGGGAAGGGGGGGCTGTTAATGTATCCCCCCTCACAGTTTTCTAGTTATTTAAAGCAGAATTCCAGGAAAATTCCTAACCTTTGCAGTGGGGCTACCCCCGCGCTGCAAGGGGTAAGTGCTCTTTGTGTCTAGGTAAAAAAAATAACAATGGTATACTCACCCGAACCTCGGATCTAGCCGGCTGTAACAGCGCTGCCTCCTCCTATGCTGACGCGATGGTATGTCTGCCGCTGTCCTCACGTCCTGTGCACTGCGTATAGACCATGATGACTCATGGACCACGGGGAGCGATGCAGACCAATAAGAGCCGCGGGGAGCGATGCAGACCCATAAGAGCCACGGGGAGCGATGCAGACCCATAAGAGCCGTCCATCCCCGAGAATCGGGTGCGTATAACTTTTTAAAATATTTGAACCTAGCCAAAAAACGAGCACTTAACCCTTTCAGTGCGGGAGAAGCCCCATTGCAAGCATTGAGAATTTTTTTTTTCCCCCGGCATTCTTTTTTAAATTTTTTCTTTACCTGTTGATTTTGGAGGACTACGCGGTGTAACGGGGTGCCAGTAAAACCAGCCAGGTGGGCAGGAAAAGTGATAGATGGTAGATACATTCCTCCACGTATCCCTAGATTCATCATCTAAGGCAGTTGTGGCGAACCTTGGCACCCCAGCTGTTTTGGAACTACAAGTCCTATGAGGCTCTGACAGCCACAAACATAACTCCCAGAGGCAGATGCATGTTGGGATTTGTAGTTTTGGCACAGCTGGAGTGTTCAAGGTTCGCCACCACTGATCTAAGGTAATGCCAGCATAGATTTGGAGGTAAAGAAAAATTGCTCTTTATCCTGTATTGGTAAAACAAATCCTGGGGCTGGTGTTACTAGGAGTGTGATAGAGCTCCGGGTGGGACAGACTCCTAGTTCCATGGACTGTAGTTTAGTGAAGACTGCACAGGACTTCATTAGTGTGCAGCTGCACCTAGCTGAGGGGAAGTGTGTCTCTCAGTGCAAGGAGAGACAGTGGGGGGAATGCAGCAAGTTCTGTGTTTGGAGCCAAGCCTGTCAGCAGGACAGGGTTCTGTGGATGGACTGTAACTGTTCCCACAGAGGAAACGGACCCAGCTCAGAGGACTATCGCTAATGCCCAGTAAGGCTCAGTGGAGCGGACTTTTATTTGTTTATGTCAATTTAATTTTTTGGGTGAATGCCTGTAACCTTTTTTTTTTGTCGATTTGATTGCTGTCTGGAATTAAAGCTGGCAATTTTTGGTTGAAGAGACTGCGAGTTTGCCTCTACATTGAGACTAGTTCCCTTCAGCGGCCATACGCCACCCTGCATGTCTGTGTGGCTGCGGGTGTCCGTACTCGTACGGTGATAGGATGGATCCTGTCTGCGTCCGAGCCGGGACACCCGTACGGACCTGCACTTGGGGCGACCGTATGGCCGCATACTCCCATAGAGAAGGACAGGGGCTGCGTACTAATCACAGGATAACAGACACCGGCACTCCAACTAATGAATCAATGGCGTCTCTTTATTTACGCATGAAACATAGCAACAATGCATCAAAAAGCAACGTTTCGGGGTCTCACAAGATCCCCTTCATCATTTTGGCTGATGAAGGGGATCTTGTGAGACCCCGAAACGTTGCTTTTTAATGCTATGTTTCATGCGTCAATAAACAGACACCGCTGATTCATTACTTGGAGTGCCGGCGTCTGTGATTATAGATGGTTGCCATCCGTCGACTGCTGCAGCACCCATCTTTTATAAGGAACAGCGGTTTTGAATGCGATGGGTTCATGGACTGTATCCTGCGTACTATCACACACAGCACCTGTCCTTCCCGGGAGCTGCCCGGAACGGCCGTGCACGCAGCACGGAGCTGTACGTGCCGGTCTCTTCTCGTGTGAATGAGGCGTAAGGGTAAGGATTAGACTGAACAGTACGGGGCTTAAAATGTCCCAATTTTTCATTTGAGGAATTTGGAATGTAAATATCGATACAGGACACAAACGTCAACCTCCGTACGAGCGACAGCTCAACTTTAAGTTATACTTTTTTTTTTTTAATGCATGTTCAGTGCAGTTCCTCAAAAATATAGATTTGGTTTTCTCCGTTGTCTTAACCGATTTCCCTGCGATTTACCTGTCACTCATCACCCTCCAAATGGTCCAATTTTGTTTTGAGTACGATGGGTGGGCAGAGAGTGAGTTTCTTGGCAATTAAACATACTTTGAAGACCGTGTTTAACATTGTTTCCCACTTCTTTAGCACCATGAGTAATCCTAGAACATTTTTTTTTGTTGTTGGAAGGTAAACTTCTCTTGTGTGTAAAAACATAAAGGCCGAACAAAAACATACAAAGAATCCATAATGTCGACTTCAATCCATGTGTCCTCTTCTGTGACCGGTGAGTGCAGTTTTATATAGAATCCTAATAATACACATTATCGATGCCATGCAAACGCTCGCGCTGTCGTGATTCCCTGCTCGAAAAATAGAGAGCTTTGCGATACCATTTCTTCGCGCCTTGTTGAGTCTCGGCTTCAAGTCTCTAGAAAAAAAAAACCTCTTAATTCCCTTGGAGATTGTCTCAAAAATAGATCGCTTTGATTTAACGAAACCTTGAATTCTGTGAGGGGGGGGTTTTAAAAGTCAATCGATATCGATCCTTGAGCGCACTCTTCTCGGCCGCGCGCGTAGATTTCGCAAGGGATCTCCTCCATGACCCGGTCTTCGATGCCTTTGTCGCCGCAGTCGTGCGACTGTTTGAACGCGTACGTGCTTTTCTTGTAGGTGCTGTTAAACGTTTTCATGGGCTGCGGCTGGGCAAAGTCGTTGCGGAACGGAAGTTCCATGGAGCTCAGGTTGGTCCTGCTGTGTTTGAGAGTGGCCGTCTGCGAGCCGCAGTGGTGGTCGTGAATGCAGCGGGACGTGGCGGAGGAGCGCCTCGTCTTTTGGTAGTTCTCCAGTTCTTCGGACAAGTCGGCCAGGTCGGCGGAGATCTCTTTGTCCCTGAGGGAGAAGAGCTCGTAGTGGGGCGGGTCAAAAACCTCCTGAAAGCCAGTTTTGTTGAACGCGGTCTTCCTGGCCATGATCTTTTTACGAGGCTGTTTGACTTGGACCAGGATGGAAATGATGAGGAGGACCAAGACGATCCCGGAGGTTATTCCAATAATGGTCCCGTGGGTCTTGGTAATTTGCTCGAACAGTCCAGCTTCTTTTCTTTCTGTAACAAAAAATTAATAAGATAACTACTTCAGCAAAGATGTGCAAAGTCCAGTCTGTATGTATGTATATTTTTTAGGGATGCACCGAAATTTCGACCGCAGAAACATTTCGGCCAAAAATGGCACTTTGGGCAAAATGCTGAAAGTACCATATCGGCTGAAAATGCGGTCGAAGAAGCGCATCCCCAGCTTCTCTCCTCCCCGCTGGACGCCGGTCTATGTCCCCTCGGATCCCTGCTGCTCTCCCACCGCCTCTGCCCCGCCCGCCAGCAGAGGCAGTGGGAATCCAAGGGGACACAGACCAGCATCCAGCGGGGAGGAGAGAGACTGTCATGAGTCAAAGCAGGGTCTATCAGGGGTCTAATAGAGCCCAGAACCCCCAAGAGTAAAGTAAGCAAAAAAGAAACTAAATAAAAAATAAACACAAATAAATAAATTATAAATAAGAATAAAATAATGTAAAAAAAATGTAAAAGGTTGGAAAAAAAGTAATTTTCAGTTTCGACCTGACAAAAATTTTTATTTTCGGTTTTGGTCTAAAAATTAATTTCAGTGCATCCCTAACATTTTTGTATATTCATCAAAGTGGATCTAGAGACTCTGAAGCAACCTCTTGCTCATAGTTGGTCACATCCAATTATACTTAGACACTTCACCCCTCTTCCAAGTGGCTTCCTCTGTCCAATTGAGTGTTGGGGATATACCCCAGCATTTTGGACAGAGAGGACAACTGGCTCACAAGAGGTGTGAAAGAGGCCATCTATGTCAAACTAGAACAAATGTCTTCTGTTAAGAGGACCTTCAACATCTGTCACCTGCATTTAATGCGTTTTAAAATCTGTACCCCGGGTTTCAGATCTTAAACCATACAACTCAAACTTATAACATCTATCCCAGAGTTCATAGTACCATGGGGATTGGATTATGTACTTTAGAACCTGGTGTTTTTTCATACTTTTGAACCTCCTTGGGCATTCAACATTCGCCTTGATACATTCTATGGTGATTGTATTAAAGTGAACCTTCACCCCCCCCCCCCCCCC